TGGCATATGGGAACATCAACAATCCCTGTTGTAGTTGGAGCCCTAGGACTGGTTGGAAAAGATTGCAGTAGACTAATTGAAAGGATTCCTGGAAGTCCATGCCTCAAGGAGATACAAAAAATTGTTCTGACAAGTACAGCCCACACCCTACGAAGGGCTTTATCTATGTAATTTAATTTTTTTTTTTTTTTTGTCAGTGGAAAGTGTCATGACGCCATCTCTAACCTTAGGTCGCTGGGCGGGACGCGGAAAGAAATGTGTAAACGCCAGAAATCAAAGAAAATAATAATAATAATAATGATAATAATTTTCTTTTCTATGTATTTTTTTCTTTGTCACTGTTGTGAATTCAGTAGTGAGGATTTATCATATAGTACAGTCTATAAAACAAGAAACATCTCAGATAAAAGTTAAGCTTAGAACTTATTGACCAACCCTTGCCAAAGATGTTCTGAGTAATTATAATCATATATTATAATACTGGTTCTATCAGATGGACCAAGAATTCACTGAATGCATCCTTTGCGCAGAGTAAGATTCCCTTCTAAAGTAATGATCGGCCAATGATTCTGTTGAACTGACGTTTACTCTTTTGTGCCAAACGAAAACTAAATCTATGTCTATCTTTTTTATTGTAGTGAAAACCTGACTCATATCTAACTCTTGAATCTTGTAAGACTTGAACCTACGTCTGCATCTCTTGATTTTAAATTAAAACCAAACCTGTGTCTCCTTTTTTGGGATCTAGTCAGATGAGCGCCATACGGGATACACGTTTGGGCGATCATGTCTCTTTCGATTCATGGCTGATTAGGCAGATGATTTTCCAACAGCAGGTTACTGTTTGTTTCTGCTGTAGACTGGTTGCCAACCAAGGCTATAGGATCCAATATGTTCTGCTATTCAGCCCGTAACTGGAGGGAGAAGAAATGAATCCATCCCTTTTCCAGGGATATTTGTGTGTAAGTTAATGTAACGAACCTGACTGGAATACGAACTCGGCTGTCTGATTTTTCATTCCGTGCCTAAATCCATTATCTCGATTTCTTTTTACCCTAATATAAAACGAACCTCTTGATACCTTTTTGACTCTAATATTAATAAGACCAATGTTGAATTATTTTGATTCTCATTCAAATCGAATCGATGTCTACCATTTTCTCTCGTGTAAACTCCTCGTATAATTACCTACAGATAAATTTACACTGATTTTTATCTTATGAATCTTATTTTCGGCATTAGATAACCAACCAAGTATTGATATATCGTTAAATTAACCAAATTACCCGAGCCATAATGTCTTTTTTTAGTTTCGATTTAGCGTATGTTTCTATTCGTGATATAGTCGTTGAAGTAGTTGAGAATTTCCAAATGTTATTAGTAATCGAGGTTTAAAATTCCCAACTTATATTTGGTGATTGAATGATAATTTTAAAGAAAAGAAAGTCTACATTACGTTGAAGATTAACGTAATATAATCTTCCTAATCTCTGGGCGCTCCATTTGATCTTAAATCCAACTTCCGCATTTATAAATCTGCCATTCTTCCGTGCATTCAATAATGCTGTCATATCTGGTCTGGAGCTCTTGTAATATATCTGGAGATTCCCGACAAAATTCAAAGAAGAGTCGGCAACGTTATCGATCCAGAGCTGGCATATCGA